ACTAGCTCGACAAGAAGCTACGGTGGCCTCTTGTATCTGTAACTAACATATCACGCGTTCCTGGGTTTGTTAGAGCTTTATTCGTAGGAACTCTCGTTTTACACCGTAGCTGTGGCAGGAGGGTTTTTGCGGACGAACACAGAGTGAACTTTAACCCTGGTAAAATGGGCTATTGTTTTGATTTAGTAGGCTTCTTTTTCGTGTGAATAATTACTAGTTTGTCGACAGAGGGAAACATTTAATCGCTCCGGTATTATTGAGGATCTAGTTAAGCGTAAATGATGACCAGAAATCCGGGGTAGCTCTTTAACAGAGATGCTTTCTTCAAGATAAGCTAAAGTTAGCTTTTCGGCTAATGTAGCGTAGCGTAGCTTTGGTAACAACATCGCGAAGATGAGGAGCACCGTGTAGGACAGACGGAGCAGACGTCGGAAAGCGGCGATTTCCTGCTTGTCAATCATATTATCCCAGGGTTATCCTGTCTGTGTGTCTTTATTACCACAAAACAGAATTTCAGATCAAACCCATCGAAACATTTAAGTCGTTGTTTTAGCTTTGAAGAGGTGGGTGTGCTTCTTTTAAAATCCGCTAGCTGATGATGGTCATGCTTTGACTTTTTCAAATCCGGTTGTTTTCCTGTAATCTTTTACTTAAACAGTTCAGAAAATTGTTCTTCCGACCTCGCGTGTCTTCGTCTTTGCTGGTCAGTAACACGTGTCTGAACGTCTTTTTAGTGTTGGACCTTTGCATCACTCGCACATTCTTTCGATGGGGGAGGAAAAACCGGACACGCTGGACTTTGTGAAGGATTTTCAGGAGTATCTGAGCCAGCAGACTCAACATGTCAACATGATATCAGGCTCTGTCAGCGGCGTCAAGGAGGCGGATGAGCTGCCAGCAGGTAACACGAAGCTGTGTTTGTAACGCTCTATTAATTTTGTGTGCTTTGTGGTGAAGTTTGAATCAGGATGAGTCCATCTCAAATCCCCGTAGGCCTTCTGCTCGACCATCTCAGATATGCCTAAAAACCTTATGGTTCAAGGATTGGACATATACAATTATTGCTGTGAAATTTTAGCTTCATTTATTAAATAGTTTTGAAGATTTTTTTTTTATATGGCCGACTGACAAGAAAATCACAAAGATTAAAAAAATTAAATTAAATTTTTACTTCTAGTTTGAGCAAATATGACAGGTACTACAAAAGATTAAAAAAAAATACCAGTAGATGTTACTGTCCATGTAGAACAAAATCTTTGCATTTCCAGATGGTGCTGTATAACTGACAAGGTAATTTTGTTGAATTATTTTGATATAAATTTTTTTTTCAAGACCTACCGCACAAGGACAAGTCCTTCCATTCAGGTGAAGTTTAAATTGTATCAACTCAGCAAGTACCAGTGTAAAATCTGTAAAACAACTATGAGGGATTAGTAATTGATTTCACGTAAGTAGTGCAAAGCCAAGATGCTGTTGACACTGGAAGTCCAATACAAGACCCTAACCCCCTACCCCATCCCAAACCCTAAAACTGCCACAACTGCTGCAGGCAAGCAGGGGTCAGGAAGTTATTGTTATTTTGTATGTATGTATTTATTTATTTTTGGTCTATGTAAAAAATCATTTTAATTTTCCTATAAGCAGACTGCAGTCAGAATGGACTGGATCACCCCTCAGTGGACATGTCATTGGAGGACAACTCAGGGATCCTGGTAGATGGTTTCGAGAGGACCTATGATGGCAAGCTCAAGTGCCGCTACTGCAACTATGCTACCAGAGGCACAGCACGGCTCATTGAACACATTCGAATTCACACAGGTAAGATTAAAACGGCTAATCTCCAGGAGGTAACACTGATGAGATTTTGGTGCTCAGCTTGTTTTCTTTTGAACAGGAGAGAAACCTCACCGCTGCCACCTCTGCCCATTTGCTTCGGCCTACGAGCGTCACCTGGAGGCCCACATGAGATCGCACACTGGCGAGAAGCCTTACAAGTGTGAGCTGTGCTCATTCCGCTGCAGCGATCGTAGCAACTTGTCACACCATCGCCGGAGACGTCACAAACTCCTGCCAATGAAAGGCGCCCGCTCACTGTCCCATAAGAAGATGCTTAGTGTTTTACAGAAAAAAGCCAGTTCATTGGGCTATGGCCGCAGGCTCCTTATCAATTTCAGCCCCCCTTCTATGGTGGTGCACAAGGCTGACAATGTGAACGACTTCTCCCATGAGTTGCCCCACTTACGTCAGGAAACCTATGATAATCAAAGTCGAGCAGGCGAGGACGCTCTCTCCGCAAACCAAAATCACCATCACCATGATATGGTCGTGGATAACCCCCTGAACCAGTTGTCTACTCTGGCAGGCCAGTTGGCCAGTCTCCCCTCAGAGTCCCAGCCCCAGACTCAGCCTTCGATGTCTCCAGGAGCAGAGTCTATCATTGATGAGAAGCCATTCCTCATCCAGCAGCCACACCCTGCCACGGCTCCTGTTGCTGTGACAGCCAATATGGCCCATGCTTCTTCCTCATCCCCAATCCCCCCAGAACCCCGGGCTCCTCCCCATAGTAATTGCAGTCCTGGAGCGGGACCGTGCAGCGAGCACAGTGGGCGCACCAGCACCCCTAGTATCTCCAACAGCCAGCCCAGTACGCCAGTTCCCGGCCTGTCCGCCCCACTTCAGGACCCCCACATGCTGCATCACTGCCAGCACTGTGATATCTACTTCCCTGACAACATCCTCTACACCATTCACATGGGCTGCCATGGCTACGAGAACCCATTCCAGTGCAACATCTGCGGCCACAAGTGCAAGAGCAAGTACGACTTTGCCTGCCACTTTGCACGCGGGCAACACAAGTAATGGATGAATGAGGAAAACTTTAAAAGAACTTTTAATGGACCCCTATGTTTTATTATTTCTATAGTAATATTATTTATTTATCTTTCATTTGGCCTTTATGTAGCCTTGTCTTTGAAAGTTGTACTTAAACAGGAAAATAGCAACATTCAGATGAATTTTGTATAGTTAAAGGTGCCCATTCAAGTGTATTACAAAGGGATGGTCAGTGTTTTTAACAGGTTGAGAATTTATTTGTGACAGCAGTTGCAGTGACATTCACCTACTGTCATTGATCAGGAAAAAGCTTGACTATGTAGTGAAATGTAAGACACTTTATTCAAGGCTACTAAATTTACCATGTTGGTTTCAATCTTCTTTTTCCTTTGGTATAAAAAAGAAAAAGAACTTTGCTCAAAGTGGACCTTTCCCCCACAGGCAAACAGATCAGATTTTTTCTACAAGGTAAAACCAGTGACTGCTGAATGAATAACTTTCAGCTATTTGGCAGTTTCTTGTAGATGATCTTTTAATGTTGCATTTGGGAATGGAACAGGTGAAACGCTGCAAGAATGAGGCAACATAGGATTTTGAAATTGATACCCTGGGTGTATCCTGCAAAAAATCCCAGCTCCCATCCCAGTGACGTTGACCTTAAGGTCAAGGTCAGACGTCAAGTTTCAAAACTTGAAAGAGGCATCTTACAGGATGAGGGGTAACACTGACAGCGCCCAGTGTTCAGTGTTGTATTCACTGAAATCTCTGTAAAGAGTACTGCATAATTTTTGCTTGCTTGCCAAGAGAGTGAAAGAGGGAAGGTCTACTAGAATATCAAATTTGCATTAACAACATGTCCCTTTCCCAAAATTGGAAAGTTGCAAAAAAAGAAACTCCACACAAATAAATTCTCAATACTCCTGGAGCTTTAACCAAGTATTGCTCTAATATTACTAACTCAGGAGTGACACTGTTGGCCTTGAGGTATCTTTGTTAAGCTGCCTTGTAGAAATTATTTCAGTGCTTGGTGCATTTTTACAATTTCTTTGCAGTGCCTGATATAGTCACTTTCTTGAGTAGATAGAAAGGACTGTTACTTTGAAGATGAATAGATTTATTGTTACACTAGCCTCTTCTTATTGTAACCAACAGACCCAGAACCTTAGGAAAAAAAAACTTTGGCCATTGTAGTTTTCTATGGTAGCCATGATTTATTTTTTGATTTTTTTTGCCAAAATTCTGCTACATGAATGCTGCTAACTAACGTAAGAATCAGTGCCAGCTGTACTATAAAGATGGCATTGAGAGTAAAATCTGGCCAAACTGTGTATCACTGGTTTTTGGTCAGCCAGCTAAGTTGTCAACCTAGACCATATTTGAAGTTGTGTTGTTTTGAAGTTCCTCCAGAGAGTGCCGTTTCCTGAAATCCATCCTAGTAGCTCCACTTACTTTGTCAGAAGGGTTTTGTGGACCCTTTTAACTGCATCATGTCACTTTCTGACCTTTCGATATTGTATGAAGTCACTTTAATATCCAGTATCTCCATGTTTAGGACAGAATTACAAAGTCTTGTGTGTCATGTGAACACATTCAGAATGGCCACGTAGCACTGGGTTGCCACGTTTTAGCCTCTGTGTTTACACACGCTGAGATTTCCAATTCATCATATTGATCCCAGTGATTTTTCTGAATATTTACTGAGTATTGTATTCTGAATGGTTGGATAGATGTTCAGTGTCGAGCAAAACCGTGCCGCAGTTAAGACTGCTCCTTTAGCGAGATTGTCCTGTGTCTTGGGTACTGTTGTCTGTTGCTTAGCAACATGTGTGAAGAACATAGTTATCTGTTTTTAGGACCACCTTGTTACCTTACTTACCAGTAATGGGGGCATCCAGTAATGACTGCCTTATGTTCTCTCATTGTGTCGTAGGTTCGTAGGTAATCGTGAATGTTTAAGCCTTCTGGCGGTGACATCCCTCTGGGATGGTGAATCATTGTGAGATGGATTAATCTAACTAATTTATAAGTAAAGTGTTTTCTAACTGAGTTGTGGTATGTCTTCTTGTTTTTGTTTCGTTTTTTGTTTGTTTTGTTTTCAAGAACAAAAATCAACCACTGTCCTTTTATTACAGGACGATGACAGTTGACATAATGAACAAAAACACATATTGTCTTTTGATGATGCCTTTATTCATGTAATGCAAGAAAAGGAAAAAAAAGAAAGGGTGGATAATATTCAGTGTTAGAGTGAAGGCGTGAAGAAGAGGGAGAGAAGTGGAGAAGATTTAAGTTTCTTTCTGCTCATCATTCGCATCTTCCTTTTTCTCAGGGTCTAGAAATAAATAAAAAAAAGTAAGTAATAGTCAGATACTTTGTTCACTTTTTGTTCTTCTAGCACAAGAATTCAAAACAAAGTACAAAGTCGCACTTACCTAAAAGGTGAATGGGACCCACAACCAGAGTTTCACTCTCATGTTCAGACCCCACGTCTCTGGCCACTCGTTTGGTGCATCCGCGGCGGCAGCGGGAGTTGTAGTCGGAGGCTGGACATATTAGGACCTTGCACTGGAGGTACACGTCTTCTGTGGCCCGCAAGAACTGGAAGGCCTTAAATGTGAAACGAGCAAACGGGCTGGTGCCAGTAGTGTAGGCATAGTAGGTGTTATCTATTGGACAACTGAGAATGATAAAGAAAGAGATGTTACTGGAAAATACACGCATTACTGGTTTGTTTTTTGCTTACAAAAAGAGACCATTATTTAGATAAAGTGGTGGAACAATTAATTTATTATAAAATAATGTCCTTTTATGAGATCATTGTATCTTTTAAATTGTATCTGTGAAATCCTAATATTTAAAGTAACCATAGCTGGAGTATAAGCTACAGATATCTCAAAAGCATACTAAATTATAGTGCTTATTAAATATTGTACTTTTTTCAGTTATTTTCACTGGGAGTTTTAGTATTTACAACACAAATCCCTTTGTTCTTATTGTGGACAAAAACCAGTGTAGTTAGCGAATTAAACTGACCCGTGGAGGGCACTCATTATCTTACCCATTGCGAACCAAGTAGTAGGGTCTTGACTGGAAATCAAAGGCTGATGGTGATGCTATACAGGTGTCAATAAAGAGGACCAGACTGCTGTCACCTCTCCTCATATCGATTTCAATATACAAGTTCTGGTTTAGTGTTATCTCATATGGAAATTGAGTCACCTGAGCGTGAAAGAAAATTATCAGCATCATATAACTATAATGATAGGAGTTTTCTCTCTAGTCAAACCTTTACTGCCCAAACACACCTGATAGTAGAAGCTGCTGGATTGGTAGAAAACCATGCTGGTATTGTATCTGCCTGTGCCTGTTATGGTGGTGTTCTCTAGTTCACGGACCTCGTATAAAATCTGAGATACCGAGTCTTCCTCCATTCGGCAGTTGACGTTTAGCTTAAAGTTAGACTGGCGTGTGATCTCGCCGTAGTTGGAGTTGTAGGCACGAAGACTGTTTGTGTACACAATTTTGCCATTCTCAAACTGTTCAGGGAAGAAGATCAGTTGTTTTGAAAATTATAAAATACTGCTGTTAATGGGGTTTTTTTTTTGTTGTTTTTAGAAAGTTTTGGGGTTCCTACCTCTCTTGTGTTGCCACAAGTGTTGAGAGGAAAACTGAAGACCACATTGTAATAGGAAATCTGGGGTCTGCAGTGTGGGTCGTTCAGGTACAGGCTGTGACCATCATAACCCAAAGTGTTCAAGTAAGACTTCTCAATCACGATGTTCATGTTGTCTGAGGAGCAGTCCACTCGACCTGACAGCATGTTGTTAACAAGATTGGTACAGCAGCTTGAATTTTTTTCAGGGTTTGTCGGTCCTACATTTTGGTTCTTATTGAATTATTATTCAGCCACTTTTTACAGTATGAAAAATGGTACAGATATACATGATGTTTTAAAAAAGAAAAAAGATATAATCAAAGAAGCAGAGGCCAAAATAGCCCGACTTTTACTTCCTAATAAGCGTACCTGAGCTTGGTGTCAAAGAGCTCGTGAACTCGGCGTTGAAACCTCGACCAACCATAGAACCGTCAGTCCGGAAGACCACAGTCATATAGTTGGAAGTGGAGAAGAAAGTGCTCAGACTGTTGTTGCAGACTTTGCCCAAAAATGGTGAATAAACATATGGCCCATCATAGATTTCAATGTAGTCGCAGGAACAGCAGTTTTCCAGCCTGTGTTTTTTTTTAAACACAATAAAAGCCATAAATTAGAAATTAGCTTAAAAGTTGAAACATAGATCTAGATTTTAAAAAAAGAAGATCTGCATGTAACTTCTGTCTTCACATGATTGATCCATCTGTGCCTCACATAACAATGCTGCTCATTTTTCTATTTACTTACTGTAGGAATGTGAATTGCAGGAAGATTCTTTGGTCATATGCAGCTCTTAGTTGCCACATGCAGTAGGCATTGTCATGATAGTAGCTGGGATAGTTAGGGCTAGAGAAGGTGCCAGAGCCAAACAGATTGCCTCCACATGACCCTGTTGAATGTTAATAAAATAGCAAAAAGTGTCACTGCAATGACCAAAACTGCTCCAGACTAATTCTGCACATCGAGGACCCTACCTGTTGGCTCCCTAGTTGAGACTAAGCAGTAGGCTGTTTAAAGGGAGAAATGAAGGTTTTAGATACTTTCTTTTTAAGTAATATTGCAATAAATGTATGTTGAGATTGCTTGACCAGATACCCACAGTAGTAGTCGTAACAACAGTTTCCATAGTATTCACATGAGCTTGAGCAGGAACAGCTTCCCATGTAACTGCCACAGTTGTATCGACATGAGGGTTGAGCTGAGGGACACAGAAATCATTTCAGTAAGCTTTCTCGCCAGAGGCATTAACAGTTTCTGGTTTTACTCGAGGTCACTGAGGTTTTCGTACCTGTGGTAAAGTCAGGAGACTGGCAGTAATCTAGAAGAAGTGAAGAAAATAATTACAACATTAGATCAAGTTACTTACTGTCAGGAATTTACTTATTTTATGGGCATCATCGTAAGTTGATTTAAATAATACAGCAAATACAGTGAATTTTATAGCCATACACTATACTGTTGAGCAGGAACTGTGATCACCATTTGCAGTGACGTTCTCGTCTGAGCTTTACTTACAGTAGTAGTCATTGCAGCAATTTCCATAGTATTCACAAGAGCTTGAGCAGGAGCAGTTTCCGATGTTCCAGCCACAGTTGTATTGACATGAAGGCTGTTCTGTGGGGAGTAAAAGTGTGTTTGAATAATTGGTATGTTTAATTTTTTTTGTCATTCAGTCTGTTGAGAGATTGTCATACCTGTAACAGGCATGGTAGTGGGCGTGTCAGTAGTCCATTGGCAGTATGCTACATGACAGAGGAAAGAAAATATTTTGACTTTTTTCCAGTTTAACCTTTTCTTACTTATTTAATGTGCTTGTTTAACAAACCGCTTATTCACATTATGTTAATATGAGCACTAATGAATTTGATGGGGTGAACACTTACAGTAGTAGTCATAACAGCAATTTCCATAGTATTCACAAGAGCTTGTGCAGGAGCAGCTTCCCATGCTCCAGCCACAGTTGTATCGACATGAAGGCTGAGCTAGAAAACACATGGGGACATAAGACTACAGGCAAATCATTAAATATCAAACTATTGATTTTTTAAAAATGAAGTAAGGGTTTGCACCTGTAACGTCAGGCCACGTAGTGGTTGATGAGCAGTAATCTATTTGACAGAAAGAAGAAAAGGTTTTCTAAATAAAACATAGTATTTAAATAATTGGGGATTATTGTGGATGTGGGAATTAGATACATAATTCCCACACTCTCCAAAAAATATAACAAAAATTGTTGCTTTGCAGTCTGATGGGGGCAGCTTTAAAATTACAAACACTAATATTCCCTCCAGCCTGGAGTGCCATTTATTTATCTGGATTGTTCAGTTTTGGAGACGTCCACTGTGCAGATGTCTCCCTTCTCTTATACAGTATATAATGGAACTAAATGGTAATTGTGTTGTGGTGCGTAAAGCACTAAAATATTTTTGAAAACTTATAGAAACCTTGTTTTGAGCAGTTTCATGCAGGGACTTTCTTTTCCCCAACATGTCAAAAGGAGCCTGTTGAGGTGATTCTGATCTGGTTTGGATCACTCCTAGTTGCCTATCTTCAGAGGTGTTCTGGGGACGCTGAACTTGGAGGAGACCCCAGGGAATGTGTTGCAAAGATTAAATTTCTAATAAGGCCTGGATTCAGGATCCCCCAGGAGGAATTGGAAATTGAGGCTGGGGAGAAGGACGTCTGGAATATCTTGCATTAGCTTGTTGCCACTGCAACCCAAGTTCAGATGAGCAAAAACAAGTAAGCGGTTGGTTGTTGTTGTTGTTGTTGTTGGGTTTTTTTGTTTGTTTGTTTGTCTTCTACCAAATTGCAACTACCAAGTATATCATTCTGCAGAAGGAAAAGCAGATCTACCAGGATGCACACACAGACACAAGCAAGTATGGGTCAGTGGATAAAGCTGCTCATAACAAGGTTTGTGCATTATGACCCATTATGCAAGGGTCATAATTTCTGAAAAGAGACATTACGGCTGATCTTTTCCTTTTTTTTAAAACTATGTTTATTACTCATTTATTTGTCTTTCTTAGCATGACAAGGGAGTTTCATTATATTCAAAACATGAGAGACATATCTCCAAAACTGAGCAACCAAAACAATCTAGATGCATACAGTATATCCCACTGAAGGCCAAAGAAAATTGTCTCTTTAAACACAAAGTCACAATGTCATGTGTCATTTTCAGAAAACCATTACACTGGAATCTGACAGACTGTTTGCTCCTGCAAGAGATGGCTGCAGAGACGGTTAACAACGTTGATCTGTAAGACTTGCCACTTACCATAGTAGTCATAGCAACAGTCACCATTGTATTGACAAGAGCTTCTGCATGAACAGCTTCCCAGGTGCATGCCACAGTTGTAACGACATGATGGCTGATCTTGAAAACAGAGAGAGATACAGTATTTAAAAAAATCTATGAGATGGCTTTTACTGAGCTGCTGCTTTAAAAATGTTTCCCCATACAGACTTTTATACCTGTGACTGGATCTCCTGTGCTTGGGCAGTAAGCTGAAACAAAGGAGCAAACCATACAGATTAAAACTGAACAGTTTTCCAAACATCTTTGCCCCCTTGTTTTTGAATAAACGTGACTGTTTAATAGGCTGTGTAAGTGTGAGACTGTTGGAAGTGTGGCAGCACACCTGTAGTGCGAGGAAAAATTCTTTTCATTGGAAAGTGTGATCATAGTGAGCAGGGCCTCCTTCTGCTGAGCTTTGAAGGACAGAATACTTACAGTAGTAGTCATGACAACAGTTGCCGTAGTATTCACAAGAGCTAGTACAGGAACAGCTTCCCAGGTGTGCGCCACAGTTGTAAAGACATGAGTACAGATCTGGAAGACAACATTTACTTTATAGCTTTTAATCTCATTTTTTTTAAACAGTATCTTTACTTAATTCTTTTTATTTACCTGTTGTTGCATCTGTTTCTGGTATACCTGTTACTGATGTGGACGTGCAGTGATCTGTGGGAGGTAAATTTTAAGATCTAGTTTCTTTTATGTTTGTGTGTATCATAACAGGCATGTTGGGTCAGGAAAGAAGAAAAAGAAACATACTCTGATCATGCTGTTTTCAAATATTTGGGTACTATATTTTCTTATTCATGAATTATTTATCGTATTTAGTTTGTATACCTCGTTCCACAAAACAAAGTACAAGTTGCGCAAATTGTCATTAAATACAGGCCCTGAATAAATGCGTTTTGGCACTTTTCAGCATTGCTTACCTTCGTAGTCATAACAACAGTCCCCTCTGTATACACAGCTCGAAGAGCAAGAGCAATATCCAACCTGGTAACCACAGTTGTGAATGCAGGAACCTCCAGCTTCAAGGAGGATAGACAAAAAAGACAAAAAAATTCCCATTAATTAAAATCTCAAGATTATGATTTTTACTTCTTTTTTGCTTGTTTGTTTTCTTTCACTGACAATAAAATCCACAAATAAACTGTAGACATGGTACCTAACTTTATTTATAAAGGTATCATAACAGGTGTGACTTACACACAACTCTGTAAGAAGCATGAAATCCTGTGTCTCTTACACTGCCATCACTCCTGAAGCGCACAGTCAAATAATAACCGGTGGAATAGAAAGTGTTGTTTTTGGTGTTGTTACATGTCTTTCCCAGAAGCCGGCTTCCAGTACTGGAGCCATCATAGACGTAAACATAATCATATCCACACTCAGTGCTGTGATTAACACAAACCAAGAACACAACTTTGAATTAAAAGTCACCATAATACAACCAAAGTAAAGAGTGATCACACTCATCCTAGGTATGGAAAAATACTTGCTTACTTTATATCTGACAGCTCCAGCTGAATAATTTGATTGCCTGGTCTGATGTACCATATACAGTCAGAATTGTCTGGGTACAGGTTTGGATAGTTGGGGCTGTAAAAACTGCCACTGCTGCCATACAGGTAACCACCACATCCTGAAGTAACACAGAATCATTAAAAAAAATCAATTAAATGCATGTTAAAAAGCTAATCAATTAACAATAAGTTTTGTGGACAGTGAGTTTAACATTTTAGTTGTTTGAATGTATAAGATTGTAACTGCTACAGCATAAACAGATATC